CTTCTCAAGCTGCTCTTTGAAATCTTCTGTTCAGCTCTTTTATCTTGTCATTTCTTCCATTTGCTTTAGCTACTCTCCATTCAAGGGCAATTTTCAGTGCCTTCTGACATCGATTTTGGTCTTCTTTTCCTTTCTTGTCTTTTTAATGACCTTTTGCTTTCTTCATGGATGATGTTCTTGGTGTCATCCCAACTCCTCTGGTTTTCAGTCATTGGTGTTCAATGCATCAAATCTATTCTTTAGATGGTCTCTAAATTCAGGAGGGATATTTAAGGTCATATTTTGGCTTTCGTGGACTTGTTTTAATTTTCTTCAACTTCAGCTTGAACTTGCCTATTAGTGATTGAGGGTCTGTTCCACAGTCAGCTCCTGGCCTTGTTTTGGCTGAAGATATTGAGCTTCTCCATTACCTCTTGCCACAGATGTAGTCAATCCAGTTCCTGTGTACTCCATCTGATGAAGTCCACATGCACAGCCACTGTTTATGTTGTTGAAAAAAGGTATTTGCAATGAAGAGGTTGGTCTTGCAAAATTCTATGATGCAATCTCCAATGTTATTTCTGTTACCAAGGCCAAATTTTCCAACTACCAGTGATTCTCCAATCACCAGTGATAATCAGCACATCTTGATTGCATGTTTGGTCAATTTCAGACTGCAGATGTTGGTAAAAATCTTCAGTTTCCTCATCTTTGGCTTTGGTGGTTGGTGTGTAAACATGAATAACAGTAGTATTAATTGGTCTTCCTTGTAGGCGTATGCCATGTCCTGAAATAGTTGAACATCAACTGGTTCTTTTTTGTACAGTGACTCTGTGTTCCTTCCATCTTCTTTTGATGATTCTTGCATCATTCAATATTTTGCCAATAGAATCTTTCAATTTTGCAACTCGAAGCTTGAATTTTTTCTTCAGTTTTTTCAGCTTGAGAAATGCTGAGTGTATTTTTCCCCTCTAGTTTTCTAACTCCAGTTCTTTGCACATTTCATTATAATTGACTTTATCTTCTAGAACTGCTCTTTGAAATCTTGTGTGCAGCTCTTTTTTATAAATTTATTTTTAATTTTTTATTGTGATCTAGGTTACAATTTACAGAGCAAATTCATTTCCCATACAGCAGTTCATACACATTTTGCTTCATGACACTGACTGCAATTCCCCACAATGTAACAGCTCTCTTCCTAGTTCCTCCCTATAGTTGCCTCTTTCCTGTGTCTGTTCCTATGCATTCCTGCCCATTGAACTGTCTCCCTTTGCAAATACTGCTATTCATGAGGTTTTCACTGGCCGATTCTTTGGGAAATGGACGGTTTCTTCATTCTTCCCAGTCTGTTTTAGTCTGGAAGCGCCACTGAATCCTGTCTACCATGGGTAAACCTGCTGGTATTTAAAATACTGATGGCATAGCCTCCAGTCTCACAGCAACATGCAAGCCACCACAGTACAACAAACTCACTGACAAACAGTGGGAGAAAGTCCTTAGGGTTGGGCTATTCTTTAGGGTATTCTTACAGAGATTTTATTCTACTTCTTATTTTTTCCCCCTCTTATAATAAATTTATGTGGGCTTTAGCTGAGACCCTCTTCTGTTGCTCATTTTTTACATGACATTAATTTTCCTCAGCCCAAGCCCCCTAGATCTAGGAAAGGGAGGGAGCAGGAGTAGCCTCAGGGACCTCAGGATTGGCAGGATATCTAGGTACAAAGGGACAGGAAGCAAGGCTAGGTCCCAAGCCCCCTAGAGCCAGGAAAGGGAGAGAGCAGGAGCAGCCTCAGGGACTCAGGAGTGGCAGGACATCCAGGTAAAAAGGGGCAGGAGGCAAGGCAAGCCCCAAGCCCCCTAGAGCCAGGAAAAGGAGGGAGT